CTAATATTATAAACAGAAGTGTGGAGAATGCTGCTAATTTACTTACAAGGCCTAGCTTCTTGATATGAATGATTAGGCATATGTTGTACAAAAATTTCTCTCAATGCAATAATTCTTCAACTTTGATTAATTGTTTAGATTAAAATTTACAAATAGGCCTCGGCTATTTGTTGGTTTGAAGATGACCAGCATATTTTATTTCATAAATTAAAGTTTACGAAGTCATAGGCCTAGAGTAGAGGCCTAGATACAATTAGAAAACTTTCATGTTATTAATATTTTTATCATTCATTTACAGGCGAAATTAATATTATCGCCGACGATTCACAAACCTACTCTGTCTGCACAACCAACCTTTCTCCTCTGCAGTGTTGACTCTTCTTAGGAGCCTCATTCTATATAGAGTAGGCTGCTAGCAACTAGATATTATAGGCCTAGATGATACTATATAGACTTTTAAAACAAAAAGATAATCGTAACGAAAAAAATAAAGAATCGTCCTCACTTAATCTTCTCGAAATAATACAGCACATCACTGATTAATTAATTCCAAAGTTAGGTAAATATGATTATACAGTATATTATATTTACAATGATATGTTAAAATCCCATAATTGAATTGTCCTCATGAACAGAATAATGAAAGAAAGTTTATGCAGCATCAGTGTTTTATAAAATGTTATAAAGCCATACGCGCACACGCTGTTTGGTGACGCGCGCACGCTGTTTGGTGACAACATGGCGCCCATGCGCCAAGTTGGCCAAACTCTCTCTATCTACGGCTCTGGTACAACAGTAAACTTTTTGCTGGTGCTGAGAGAAATATCCGTACAGTCAGTCTTAACTCTTATGGGCAAAAATGCTAAATATCAGAAACTTTCAAACGCTTCGATATAGTAATACGAGTTCTTGTTTGTTTAGAGTATCAAGTAACTTGAAGAATAATGTGAGTAGCTATTCAATAATAATTGTTGAACCATACATTGATAAAAGGGAAAAGCTAGGCCTAGGTAGGCCGACACCACCATGCTAGTCTAGGTAGGCCTAGGGCCAGGCCCAGGCTAGCCGGCTCGAGGCCTAGGTAGGCCTGCAGCAGTATTATAGTCTATAAGTAGGCCTAGTACCTAGTAGCAGAGTATGGGATGATAGTAAATGTAGTACTGTACATTTTGAAGGCCTTAGTTATGCTAGCTTCTAACATTGTCCTCAAACTTTGAAAATAATTGCTTATTAATGATTGTATGTAATGTTCCCAATATCAATGTATTATTAATTAAATTAGGACGGGATCTAGGCCTATTTATATTTATGATTGTCAAAATGATGTAAATAACATAAAAAGGTTCTCTGTCTGTTTACTGCGATTTACTTACCCTGGTATGTTTAATTTTTAGCTGTTGCTTATTAACATTAAATTGTATTTCTACCGAGATCCAGCCACTGTTTCCCACAACATTGTTGTTATTATTAGTATTTTGCCTTTTAATATATGAAATACTGCATATTAAATATTTATCATTAACAGGTTAGTCCAGCATACCAAGCAGAGAAACACTACAGGTAATACCCTATTCAGACTACACTCTGTTGCGATCGGTTGCACTGTAATCAGTGGTATTCCAAAACTGATTACTCCCGATCGCAATCAAAGAACACATTCAGACCAATACAAACAAACTTTACATTCTAGGGCCTAGGCCTCCGGTGGCTAGGCCTATGTTGACTGACCTCAGCCAAACAGTG